AGGCCTAGTATAGCTCTGTGGATATTGGGAAATACTCGGTGCATCATCCCCTTGAAGTAAATGCTAGCCTAATGCATTGCAGAGAGAATTTCTTCAATGAGATTGTTGTATAGCGTGAGCACAGTAAGCATGTTCTAGAAGGCAGTTGACACATCTGATTCATATTCTGTCCTTACTTGGATGGCATACATAGTATAAGCAACCCGTATTTATAAATTTTGAGGCCTTCGTTTCCTCTGCCCCTCTGGGATGTTATATATCCCTTAAGGCTATGTCTGTGATGAGAGAAACCCTGAATGCTCCCTGCTGAGCACCTGTTCGTAATAACCACAGTCTGTTTAGATCTCCTTGGAGGGCTTCCAGGTAGGTAGTTGGTTTCTGAAAGTTCTTCAAAATGTAAGAACTTGTGACATTTGCTGCTATGACTTGCCAGTTTGACTTTCTTCTTTAATTTTTAGCTGATATTCTGACATATCTATTAGTAACAGCCAAAAAGCCTACCGTGGTGCAGTGTGTTTACAAAGCAATCTAACAAGCTTCATGAACTCTGGATAAGGGGGAACCTGTATCCGTGGGCCACCTACTTATTTCAGTACATACCTCCTCAGTTATTTGCAGTGAACTCTGGGTTTACGGTTCTTGATATCCGAGTAAGTTAGACTTTGGGCTCAGTAGGTAAATATTATCTAGCACATATGGTATATTTAAACCTTTGAAACACATTACTGCGGCTTACATGTGGAATACTTGGTCTAAGCTGAACATACATTGTGAATAGTTTAGAAATGCCCAAGCTTTTTTGCCATTAACAGTTAGAAGTAACAAACCCCTAAGACCAGCTTTGAGTTATTAAAAGCCTTATCAGTGAAGCAGCAACTTCAAATTCATAGATGCATCCAGAACTTCCACATAATGTTACAAGATCTTGCTTTAGGGAGTTTTGAGTGCTCCTGTTTTTTGAGTGGGCTGGGCACTCTTCAGAAACACATTCCTTCCATCTTGGAGCATCCCCAGCTAATTCTCAGGGACATTAAGTACTGATATCTAGGAGTCTCCAAGCCACTGCTGGATGTACATCTTCACCATTCTATAAGAGTATTTCCAATTGACTTGAAAAATTAGGTGGTGTAGATTGTAGCTGAGTTACTGAAAGTTCTGGCTGGGTACGTTTTTCTGTTGTTTTGTTGTTGTTTCATTTTGTTTAGTTTTTTTGTTAGTTTGTTTTACTTTTTTTTATTTTTTTTTTTTTAAAAAGCTTCATTCCTGAGTTTGTTGAGACCAGACCTCTAAGCTAAAATGGCAGGACCTTGGTGAAGGAAGCAGAACTTTGAAACCTCAACTGTAGTATCTGTCGTATCAGGAAGTATACAGTCTGTAAGTGTCAAAAATAGATAATGGCAACATGAAAAAGAGAATACAAATGGGTGTATTGATGACTTTGAATTGCATAGTTGCATTCTGTGAATGCTGATATGTGCTAGATTGCTAAATCCATGTGGCAACTGATTGTAGTAATCCTAATTTTCTCTTTAATGAATTAGTGAAAGGTGGAAGTCTTTTTTAAAAAAAGACAACCAGCATGTAAAACTAAACAATTATCTTGTTTACTTGTGAAGCAAACACAAATGTGTTGCACTGTTGAATTCACTAAATGTGCATGAGTAATAACAGCAAAGGCATATAAAACTGAGAGTAAAGCTGCTCCTCTAGCTTCATCAGCTTTGATTGCTGAGAGTGATCAAGCCCTTGAACAGAATGCCAAGCATCTGAACATGTATTGGGCACTTGATTATTAACAGCTCTGTTTAGCTTAGTGATTATTGGGCTGCTTTAGGGCAGTGCTCTGTTAGTAGTTTATCCTGTGCTTGAGCTTGCACATATTCCAACAGCTGAAGATGAAAAATGTGGAGCAACACATGTCACCTACTGAGGAGGCAAATTAATTTGTTTCTGCTAGGGCAGCCAGTCTTGGTGTGGTCTGATAAGCTGCTTTCTGACCCTTGGCAATGGAGCCAGTTCTTCTGGTGGGGCATGTTATCTTACAGTGAGTTTCAAGCACAGTGAATGGTACTGAAGTGGAAAGAGGGAAAACAGAGGTTGGAGAACAGGTAATGAGGGTATAGGCCTGCATGCTTGCAACAGAAAGTTGGGCTTCCGAAAATGCTTTGCAATGTGAGCTGATGTGATTTTTGGAGGAAGCTTGTGCATGTAGTTTCATACTGTATGAACTAGAAGATGGTGGGAACTGTCTGAGAGAGAAAGCTGGGAGGGCAGATGGTTCAAACACTGCACAGACACTGTTGTGGGGATATGCCTATGTGGGTGGCAGTTTGGAGAGGAGAAGGAAAAATTGACTGATTACGCGACTTGTAAAGATCAGCTGCTGAGTGATGGACAGGTTCCTCATTATTTGACCTTGACATACAACTGAATTGAAGAATCAGTGAATGACCTTCTACTCTTTTTACTGTGGCAATTGCTTGGGTGCAGAATCAGCTTTGACTTATAGTAATTATGTAAACTTTTTGAGGAAGCTTTATGATACAAATTTGAATTTGACAAAAATACATGATCTGCAGTGTGGAATGCTGTGCTAGTTTAACTGTCTTTATGTATACGCTTGGATTATAGGAGAGGGTTGGGTTTTTATTGTAATATTGGGTTTAGTTATGTGAAAGCAATTTCAAACTGCAATTTTGCCATAGTAACATGACTGTTAAGGGTGAACTGGGGATACAGGTGGGAGCTTACTTTAAGAGGGAAATTTTAAAAGCTGTGCTGTGACTATATGTCATGTTGGTTCTAATCTAAACTGTTAAACTGCAAACTGAATTATCTGCAAGGCCTGAAAATGTTTCTAACCTAATTCTGCAAGGTCATAAAATACATTCCACATCACAACTATGTTCACCTAATCCTGCTGCCAAATAAGTCATTTGAGCAAATAACTAAGATGTTAGGTGCTTAGGCAAATCAATGCATTTGATCAACAAATCATTAGAGGAGAAAAACTTTTTATACACTGAAGTTTTCTCATTTGACAGCACTCTGTAATTGAGTGCTGTGGCTTTGTAACCTGTTAGTGTTCAGACTAACATTATTTAGTTGAAACTTCATAATAAGAAGACTGCTTTAGTAAAGGCTACAGATCTACACTGGAGTTTATAATGAAGTTAGGATCGTGTTGACTGCTGCCTTATTAGCTGTGTCTAGTTCAGTAAACTTTTTATTTCAGGTATCACTGAAGCTGCTACCTGCCTTTTCACCGTAGTCTAGAGTGGTAGAAGTTCCAAGTATAAATCATCAATTTTTTCCTTTAGGGTCCAGCTCGGTAGGACGGTGTTTTTGAAGTCACTGCCACTGACAGTTTGAAGTCTAAAATGCCTCTTGGAAAGCCAGGGAAACTTGGGAAACTTGCTTCTTGAACCTTTAGCAGTTGTTTTACAGATCTTTCACCACCAAAATTTGTTTTCTAAAGAAGCAAAATTACTCTTACTAATGTTTTATGACAGCTATAAATGTCAATATTCTTTTTAGTGAGAGGTAGCTTTGTTTGCATTTGGAAATACTGAAAAATGGAGTTTTGCATGATGTGGCTTTATTACATGCAATAGCTGTTTTACCTTCTGGAAAGACATTGCATTAAACTGTTCTTGCTGCTTCACATTGTAGAAGGCATCTGCATGTGAATCCATATCAAGTGTTCTAATACATGTCAAAACACTGATAGGAATGTTAGTCATGAATACGAAAAAAATTCCTGGATTATGGGGGAATTCACCCTTATTTACAAAAGCTTTAATTAAAGATAGAATAGCATAGCTTACATTGTAGTATTTATTTCATAATGCAACTTTATAATGTGTGTGAACAACTTGCCTTCTGGTTTTCTCCTTAAAGCAAGAGAGACGAGAGAGAGTCCTTATTAGCTGTTGCATCTTTTCATACTTTAACTCAGGGTCAGATTCAACACTTAGAGATGTGAACTGAAATATTGAGGTGAAGAAATAAGAGGCAGGATTTAAGTGAATGCATGGAAACTGGAAAACATAGGGCTCAGCTGAATACAAACAGAATGCAAACATGGCCTACACTGCCAGCTCCCAAGCTGTGATACAGGGAGTGGGTGCATGTGTATTTTCCAGGTGGAGGTGGTGTAGGTACCTCCCATCTTGCCAGTGAGAAGGGACTTACTTGGACTATGCAATTCAAGTCATGCAAGCAGTTGCTGACCTTGGACAGTAACCTGTGTTCTGACTAGGGAGCAATGCCTCAGGACAGAACACAGGTTACTGTCCAAGGTCAGCAATTTCAGCGGGAAAGTGATCCTTCCCTTATGTTCTTGCCCTTCGGGGGGAAGATGCGTTCCTTTCTCACACCTCAAAATATGTGTCTTCTCAGTCAATGATTAACTTTCTCAGTTGTCAAGGAGAGTTTATTAAACTTTTGTGTGATAAGGGATAATTTTACAAATACTCTGTGCATGCCATCCTGATGCTTTGCTCACCCTTCTCCTGGATTGTGGGAGTAGTAGCCAGCATAGCTGGAGGGTTGACTTTGTAGGTGGTATGTGCAGTAGGGGACGCCCAACTGTGGGGAAAATATTCTCCTGTCTTTAACTGGCCTGGGCTGCATGACCTCTTAAGAGATGGCGAAGGCTGGATTTCAGTGTTCCTGGGGAATTGGAGGCTTTTCAAGATGAAGGATTGGGCAGACTCAACTCCAGCAAATCATGATAGTGGTGGTTTTTCTACTGAATGAATTGTTTCTCAACATGTAATTTTATTATGGTTAAATATTTTTCAAAGTCTTTATCTGCTCCTTATTATTGAGGATTTTTAAAATGCAGATGCAGGTCTAGTACTTTGACTGCATAGTCAGATCTTCTTGATTACAGATTCTTCTAAATATGGGTTGTATTTTTTTGTTCCTGTCTTTTTCCCCCCAACCCCCACCCGTTTCCTGCCCTTAAGCAAACATCTTTTTCTTTTGCTTTACAGGCTTCAGATAAAAGGAAGGCATTAGAGGAGACCAAAGCCTACACAACTCAGTCTCTAGCCAGCGTTGCTTATCAGATCAATGCACTGGCCAACAATGTATTACAACTGCTGGACATCCAAGCATCCCAGCTGCGGAGGATGGAGTCCTCCATCAACCATATCTCCCAGGTAATCTCTTTTTTTTTTAAATAGATGACTGACAGCATTGGAGGAGGCATTATCTTGTCTCTTGTATTATTGAGCTGGATAGTTTATGTTGACTTCTTTGAAGTCCTTGAGTAACATGATAGAAAATGGTAAGGCTTTTTTCTTTTAATATTTATGCAAGCCACTTTATGATGGAGGTCATGACTGAAATAAAACAGTTCCTTTATCAAGAAGCACTGGGATTATATGTGGTTTAAAGCAGGAGTTAATTACTGAGATTCCAAGATCTGAAGCTGCAGTTGAGGGAGGGGTAGAGAGTAGGATTCTGTTTCTGAATAAAGTCCAGATAGAAGTATTATATGAATGGTGCTATTTTATTTAACAATGCAATATATGCAGTAATCCCATTTGTTTTCGTACCCTTGCAGGATGTAATTTTATGAGCTGTGTGGTGAGGCAGAGGGGTTCACATGCTGCCACGACCTGTTCAAGCCAAACTCTTTCCAAACCGAGGCAATTGGATGAGCGAGCTGACTGCAGTATTGCTAGTGTTGATGCAGGGAAGACATGGAAAGAACAGGCCTGTCCCTGTCAGTGGCAGCTTGTGTTCCCCTGGCTGAAACTTCACCCTAGCTGGCTGTGGCTGAGCGGGGAGAGTTGCTGCTGCTGCCAGCCTTGTACCTGATCTGACACTGGTCTGGTTGTATGGTAACTCAGGGAAAAGATGTCTTTGTTTAACCTGGAAGTGGCTTATTGCATAATCAGGTGGGTGCCATACTAGTGCCACGGAAGGCAGAACAAGATCCACTCAGTTATTTCACCCTTACGTTGCTGTTCTGAAGTGGGCTTGAGTGAGTTGTTGAGGGCCCAGTGTCCACTCTGCCATAAGCTGTTACTGAAATGCAGTTAGATCTTTGCTGGGCTTTGTCCTGTGCCTGAGGCATTTCATAAACAAATCTCAGAAGGTTCAACCTAAAATGTTCTTCAGTGTAGCCAGTGAATTTAAAATTTTTGTTGGTCAACTGATGCCCTGTTAGTGGTACATCTTAGACTGAATACTTGAAAGAAAATTTTTCTCATGGCTTCTGCTGTCTGTCTCCCCATAGGCCCTGCTTGTATGTTTACTGTTCATTTAGAGTAATTGTGGTTTCTAAAAATATTTCTGTTAAATGGCAGCACAGTGGTGCACAGAAAGCATGTCAGCAGGGAGAAGATTTCAGTGCACGTGGAAGGGCCCTTCTAGTAAGAAACCTTTCGTAATGGCTTGTCAGCTTAGTGTGTGCTAAGAACTACACAGGGTTAAATGCTGTATCAAATATTTTAAAAGTACCTGCCACTGAAACAGGAAAGTAGGAGGAAGTACAGTTGCTGTAGATAAGTTTCTTATTCTGTCAAGTATTCAGAGTTTTCTTGATGCTAGGATTATAACTACCTCTGAAGAAATGACTGGATAAAGGACTGAACCTACAGGCTTTCCCAAGGATTGGGTGTCCTTTTAATACTGGCCGTATCTTTTATGTGTTTCAGAGCTGCAGTGTGTGTGAAGCGATGATTATTCTCGTTGGCCCGCTGATATGACTAACTATGGAAAAAGCCAAAATGTTTCATACTAGCACAAAAGGTGTTAACCCTCTGTACTGTTTGCTGCTTGCATTAAAGGCACTATGCTGAAAGCTATTGAGTCACCTGATACATGAACTGGTTGCTAAAGACTATGAACAATCAGTGCTTTGTGGAGCTTTTGAGGAGTGTTTAGCAAGGTCACTTGCTTGTAGTTTCTGTCCTAGTTGGTCTTTCCTGAAACTAATCCTTGCTTATAAATGAACCTCTGCAGACTAATTTTATGGAATTAAAATGGATACAGATAATGCATGCATACCAGCTCAGCTATTTGCTTTGAAATGTTTCTGCTCAAATGCTTCAACTGCTTATCTTAAATCTGCTGTGCAGTTGCTTCCGAAATTCTCGAGGTTTCCAGAGTGTCTTTCCCCATGCTTGTATCAGTCTTGAATGTTTTCATGCTGCTGAAGCGTGGGGATGAACATATTCTCAAAATTCTTCTCTGTGACAGAATTCTGCCTAGAAACACAGATCTGTGGTGTTGACAGTCAATTCTGTGTTTTGCAATATAGAGCAGATATCTGTCAGATAAGGTACAATTTGATAGTTTTGCTGATTTAAAAAACCCCTTTCTTCTTTCTATGGAAGAAAATCCTGTGGCTCTTCTGACCTGCGGGCGGTTCCTGTTTCCTAATGTGTTTCAGTTCTCTATGCATGTTTTCCATAATGACTGTAGGCTAAATGGCTGAGTAGCTAATCTTGATAGTAGCCACTCAATATTTTTCTTAGCTATGTACCTTCTTCACTAGAAAAAACACTAATGAAAAGTTAAGTGATAGAGTGGTGTGTTCTGTTCTTGTTACTGGAGCTTAATTTTACAGATGGAAAGTTTGCTTGCTTTTATAGGAAGAAATTAATTCAGCTTTGATTTCTTGTTGAGAGCAAACAGAGGCTTCACATGGGCAATCACTCTGTGGTGAGGGAGCAGTGCTCTGAACACACAGAGGCAGTGAACAGCTCTAGGAAACATACGTGAAACATAGCAGCCACAGCAGAAGCCTGCCCAGCTGTGTGTATTTTCCATAGTCATAGTTATCTTTCAGCTGTAAAGTGTGAGTCTGGAGTGACCTACCACATAATTATTTACTTCACCCAGTATACAGAGCTGTGCGCATACAGCTCAGCTCTTGGGCTTAAACCCTTGATACTGACTTCAAGCTTTGCCAAGCTGACTTGACCTTTCCAAGCTACTCTGATAATGGCAGAGCAGAGACTTGGTCACTGTTCTGGAGAAGTTTGCAACCCTTCTGGTATAGGAGATCCTACTCATCCTGTTAGGCAAGGTTTGGGGGGAAAAAAGATAGCAAGTCTATGCTTTGGACCAGTGGGAGCATCAAGGCTTTACTGAAGGTATTAAGGCATATATACCTCTAGACTCCCTACTGCAGGCTTTCTGTTACACTCATAATTATGTTGCATATTTCTGTCAGTTCCTATTTGGTGCTTTACTTTGTTTTTGTTTGCTTTGAGAATGGCCATACTTAGAAGGGAATATTTCAGGTAGCTTTGATCTAAGATGTGAAGAGAGAGCCAGCCTGAGTGCTGCGCTGTTACAGTGCGCCATCTTAACTTTCCTTATGGGACACTGGTGTAAAAAGGCAATGGAAGAAGAACTTGAGCCCCATGTGGTTCCTAGCAATTGCTGCTGACTTGTTCATCCACAAATGCTTGGTAGTAGCAGAGCAGCAGTTCTGCTATGTTACAGATTGCGTTCAGTTGCAGCAACCAAAAAGGAATTTCCCTTGAAGAAGACTGAACAGCAATAACCAGGTGTTGTGCTTTGTTTGTAGCATATGAAGTGTAAGGTATCGGTATCTGGAATAGGCAGTATTGTCTTTTGTAGCAATTTTAGGGAAGATGAGTGAATGCATGGACTGGACAGTGAAAGGGGAAAGGAGAAGCTGAGGTTCAGCCTGCAATTGGAGACACACCACGAAGGACCTGGGACACTGAAGTGGGGAAGACCTTAACATTCAGCATATGATGCTTCTTAAGTGCTCCGACAACATGCAGCCAGCATTTTGTCATGCACCTTGATGATGAATTAAGCAAGACACTGTGTGTTTGTGTTCTGAATGCAGTTTATGCTTCATTCTGTTTTTCCTATGTGTATTAAATGAAATTCTAGTTTGCTGTTTAGACTCGTGTTGTTAATTTGTGTCGTTCTCGCATGGGTCCCTGAGCCAATTAGTTAATTCTTTAAAAAATAAAATTTATAAATCCTCTTGTATTCCTCCCTTAATTTTGAAAATCAGTGTCTTTTAGTAAAGGAGTTAAAAATTCAGCTTTTCATAGCTTGTATATTTGACAAGGGGAAACTGTTCCTCTAGAAATTTAGGCCTTTTTTTTTTTTTTTTTTCCTCTTTCAACTTGCTGTTTTTCCCTGCTTCCCTTCTCCTCTTGGAAACAAGAGCTGACTTAAACATGTACCTCAGGATAAATTTTTTGCTGCTTCACTTCCACAAACTTCAAGAGAATGAAGATAGGATAGAGCCAGATTTCTCAGAGGAGAGAGAGGCTGACAGGGACGTACTTGTTTACTGTGTCAAAACTGAAAAATGTAACTGAGCAGTGCTCACATTTATGTCAGAGCAGCTGCAGTACTGGGGGTAGCAACTACTTTTTTTTTTTTTTCCTGGACATAAACAGTTTTAAAATAGCTCAGTATTTAAATCCATGTCTCTTGAAGCATGAAGGAAGCAATAGACTTCTTTTTAAGAAATGGTGATTTGCACTGAGAAACACTGCACCCCTTAAACATTCAGTGTTAAAATTTTATTTTGCATCTGAAGCTCTCTTCTAATGCAAAATAAAGACTTACCACAAAACTATATGTTCTGAAAGCATAACTCTCAGCAAAAAGTCTATGTACATCTTTTGTCTCCATTAAAAGTTAGAAGCTTTTAGAGCTAAAAAAGTAGTAAAATCCCTGACTTAGTTTAGAAGACTCTTGCCTGTTGCCATCCATGTCTAATTCATTGCATGTGTAATTGAAGTACTTCATGCAAGCAGAAAGCCAAATGCCTTCTGTTTCTGTGCTATGGTTGTCTAGCTAAAGTGAGGGACCATGATGAAATAAATACACAGACGTTACCTTTTCTTGTAGGACTTCTGAAACCTACATCTGAGCCTGTGTTGAATCATGGATGCACACCATCCCCTTCCCCAAATACTAAAGCCTTTTCCATTGGTTGAGCAGCCAGTAAGGACTCATGTGGATGAGGTTTCAGAGAAGCTCTGCTGAAGATGTTCTGGGGCTTGAAGGGGTGAGCTCTGAAGTAGTGCAAGTTGATAACACAATAACTGGTGTTTCGTGGCAGGGAAGAAGAACACAAGAGCTGTTAGGTGCTTAGCAAGTCTCTGGTGTTTGAAGAGGCATAAGGCACGTACAGTGGGGACTC